CTGTAATCCTAGCTACTCAGGAGGCTGAGAACTGAGGATCGCGGTTCAAAGCCAGCCCAGGCAGGAAAGTCCATGAGATTTTTATCTCCAGTTAAACATCAGAAAACTGAAGGGCACTGTGGCTCAAGTGGTAGAGCACTAGGCTTGAGTTGGAGAGCTCAAAGACAGTGACCAGGCCCAGAGTTCAAGCCCCACGACCAAAAACAAAAAGCTTAAGAAGGCAGTGAAGCTGAGTTCAAGCCCCAGTACTGCTGGCACCAAAAACAAAAAACAACTGAACTCACCATGAGGTGGGTATCCAAAAGCTTCACTCAAGACAGCACCAAGGATTTCACACTTTGATAAACAGGCCTCAACTTTGGGATTGTGCTATTAGGTTCAGACTAAATATCCAAGGTCCCTCCTTAGCTAATGTTTAATTCGAAATGTGTAGAGGCAAAGTTTTGGGTTTAGTATTTCAAGAGCAAGGGAGCCTAAAAAGCAATTTTCATTTTAATTGACTTGGATAAGCAGGTTAATATCATGGTGATACAAAAGTAGCCTCCATGAAATAATGGATGGTAGTGCTTCTGGGATATGAAAGAAATTTTCATATGTTATTGCTAAAAATATGCTATTGTGTTTATTACTTCCTCCAGCCCTGTTATCTTAATAATTAACACTGGTATCTTAATAATTAACACTAAGTGTCTTAAAAGTTTCACTTTGGCACATTTTCATTGTGCAGGGAAATTTATGCTTTGATGTGAATGTCTTAGATTTTAAATTATAACACAATACTTCTTTCTTCTTGATTAGCTTGATGGAGAAAAATAACTAAACAATCTACCGGGCAGGCTGTCATGGTTTTAGCAATGAATGTTCTTGTAAGAATTTTTTTACAATTGTCAGTTTTTTTTTTTTTTTTATGTTTTGTTTTTTGTTAGTCCTGCAGTTTGAACTCAGGGTTAGGGTGCTATCTCTGAGCTTTTTTGCTTAAGGCTAGTGGTCTACCACTGTAGCCCACAGCTCCACTTCTGGCTTTTTGGAGGTAATTGGAGTTGAGTATCAGACTTTCTTGCACAGGCTGGCTTCAAATTGCAGTCTTCAGGTTTATGTCTCCTGAGTAGCTAGGATTTTAAAAAGTTTTAAATTAAATTTAGCTATACCTGTCTTTCTTTAAACTGTTTATGTCTTATTAGACATAATAAGCCACCCATAGTAGACACTATATAAGAGTAGCATAATGAACAAAACCTAAGGTTTTGTTCACTTTCCTTAACTTGAATTACTTCAGAATCAGTGGTATATTATTGAGTATCAATTATAGTAGCTACTCATTTGTTAGCCCTATATGGATGGTAATTTCTGTGGTATTTAACATATGTTTGCATGTTGATAAATTTTTCTAAGTCTTTTTCAGTGACTGATTTTGTGAATACACCTATGACAAGCATTATAGGGGAAAATCTTATTGTTCCAAATAGTGTTATATGTACCCAGCAAAATCTTACATCATACAGTATTTTTTGGCTAATAGAATCTGAGTGGTTATATTTGGTAGTCCACCTTTCACTATGGTGCTCTTACTGTTTTCTTTTCAAACAAGCATTTGAACATTTGCATTTTCTCAAAGGTGTCCATAGTTTAGTGTCATTAATGTTGCTTAAAATATTTCACTCTTAAGGTATTTTGAAAATGTTTTTCTTGACCTAGAGTAGTATTTGCACACTTGGTGATAAACTGTTAGTAGTATGTCTAATATATAAGTAAACATGCTAAAGCTTTAAATCTTAAATGGATATGTGCCATAATTTAACAATATTCATAGATCTTTCATATACTGGTTCATTCCTTGTATAGTTGCTTTGTGAAATATTGCTGTGAATTGATATTGTAATCAATAAAATGCTTTTAACTAGAGTTCATTGTATATTTTGTCAATTTTAATAAGATTCATTTAAAAATTACGTCCCAGAACTCTGAAATTCATTATTTCATACTCAACCTTGATTCTTTATTGAAATAAACAATGTTTTTATTTCTTGACTTCTAGCTTATTAAAAGACCAGAAAGCAAGTCATTCTTCCCCTATAAGGAAAGGGTAATTTAGTTCCTTTCTGTCCAATTTTTAAAATAGACAATTTTACTTATGGTATTAATTTTTTTCTATTTTCTTCTCATAAAAACCTTAAGACTTAAGAGAAAATTAAGATGTTACTCTAGTTGCCCGGAAAAATAAGAATTGACAGATGAAACTACATCAAATTAGTTTTGCATAGTATCATTGTGAGACCCATTGATGTAATTAATGTACTTTAAAAAAATAATTAGCTGACAGCCAGATGCTGGTGGCTCACACCTGTAATTCTAGCTCAGGAGGCTGAGATCTGAGGATCACAGTTCAAAGCCCGAGCAGCAAAGTCCATAAGACTTATCTCCAATTATCCACCAAAAAGCCTGGTGTCTCCAAGTGGTAGAATGCTAGCCTTAAGCACAGAAGCTCAGGGACAGAGACCAGGCCCTGAAACACACACACACACACACACACACACACACACACGCACACACGCACGCACGCATGCACGCACGCACACACATACAGCTTGGATGTAGGGGCTCACCAGCCAGAATATGGAAGGTTAATGAAGAGGGTGAATGAGGATGAATATGGCTGAAGTAGCTAAGTAGCATATCTAAAACTAGAAAATGAAACCAATTGAGATGTCCAGGGAGGAATTTTGAATAAATGCCTATAAAGAGTTTCATTGCTAATGTGGAAAGTCTCTGAAAATAGGCTCCCCCAAAAGGTGGTGTATGACATCCTTTTATGCTTTCAATACTTGACCAGGTGATAATAACAGTAATGAAAGCAAATGAGCCAAGTCACTCCAGACAGTTTACATGCCTACTATAAAAATGATTAAGAAGAAGCTGGGCGCCGATGGCTCACACCTGTAATTATAGCTACTTAGGAGGCTGAGACTGAGGATTGTGGTTCAAAGCCAGCCCGGGCAGAAATATCTGTGAGACTCATCATCTCCAATAAGCCACTAGAAAACCGGAAGTGGCGCTGTGGCTCAAGCGATAGAGCGCTCGCCTTGAGCTGAAGAGCACAGGGACAGTGCCCAAGCCTAGAGTTCAAGCCCCATGACTGACCAAAAAAAAATGATTAAGAATGATTAAAACTCACTAAATATTAGTATAAATGCTTCATTTATCAACTATCAAGCTAACAGGTTTATTTTCATCTTACAAGCTTGCTTAAATTTTTAAAAAAATCTTAAGATTATATCAAGTTTATAAATAATCCTGCAAATGTACATAGTAAATAGGTATATGTGTAATGACTTTGAACTGTACTAGTCATATAACTGCTAAATCATTCATTGGGCTAAGCCACAAGTATGCTTCATGAGAATTGATTTTCATTATTTTGGTGTTCCATTCCCAACATTCACACATTATTAAACCCAATCAGATGGAACTACAAACTGGTGATATAAAACTTTCTATACCAGAAACATTGTACTCATGACTCCCAAACTGTACTATGCATCAGGATCACTTGGAGGGCTTTCTAAAACATAATTGCTACCCAGCACTGGAGGCTCACTTTTTTCACCCTAGCTACTCAGGAGGGTGAGATCTGAGGATTGTGGTTCAGAGCCAGGCTGTGCAAAAATGTATGGGCAATTCCTATCTCCAATTAACCAGAAAAAATGCTGGAAGAGAGGGCTGGGAAGGTGGCTCAGTGGTAGAGCGCTTGCCTTGAATGCATGAGGCCCTGGGTTCGATTCCTCAGCACCACATAAGCAAAAAGAAAAAAGCTGGAAGTGGCGTTGTGGCTCAAGTGGTAGAGTGCTAGCCTTGAGCTGAAGAGCTGAGGGACAGCGCCCAGGCCTAGAGTTCAGGCCCCATGACCGGACCCCCCCCCCCCCCAAAAAAAAAAGCTGGAAGAGAAAGTGTAGCTCAAGTGGTACAGCACCCACCTGGAACAAAAGCAAGTGAGAGCTCCAGCCTGTTGAATTCAATCCTCAGTAGCAGCCCCTTAAACCCCCAAAATAACCATAAAACCACAAAAAAAATTGGCTCCATCCCAAATCTGGTTTATCTGATTCCATAGGTCTGAATCTGCATTTCTTACAGGTTTGAAAGTAATCTAGGGACCAAGCTTTGCGAACCACTGTTATAAACTGGCAATAAAAATTAAATAGTCATATATATTTAAAATTGAAAATTACATTCTATCTGATTTGCATAAAAATTTAAGTACTTTTGAAAGGCTTCTATGGCCTGAACAATATATTTGTCTTCAAATATCTTGAAAAAGAGGAGAACCTACTGTGAAAAACCAACTAGCATTCAGGAGCATAAAGACAGAAAAATACTATTAAAAAAGAAAAGCATATAATTTTGTCCCTCCCATGAAAAAGAGTTATAAACTAGCCAAATACACTTACTCCCTGGTATTTTGCATTTTAAACAAGCATTTAGGTGATGCAGATTGGTGGTCCTTTATTTTTATAGCAAGGCCTGAGAATTAGGTAATTAAAAAAATATTTCCATCTTTGTTTTTATACAGAAGCAGATATGATACTCAAACCCATAAACATTTCATTAAAGTAAAAACTACAGTAATAATGAAGTCCTGGGCAAATATTTAAGTAAAAGTAGAAGTCTCATGGGGAGAGAGGGTGGAGTAGGGGGCACTATCTAGTAGTATCTATAGTCAAAGGCCCTCTGAAGAACAGCTTCTAAACATTATGGTTACTCTCCAAAAATGCAGACTTATCTTTGGCTATGTTCATCACTTCACATACTTAAACCGATATTTTTAAAGTTTTTTTTTTCCTGGACTTGTAACTATTGCAAAGTCAAAGTATTTCTTAAGAAGTAGATAAAGATGTCTATAGCCAAGCAGGTTAGGGCTTGGTTAGCACCTGGATGGGAGAAATAAATCAAGAAACTTTAGATCCAGCTATTATGTATTTGAAACAAACAACAAAAAAACCCCAATATACTGTGTTATATCAGTTTTAATGGGAATAAAAGGCTAAAAACAGCATATTAGGGGTTTACATACTTGCCATGATGGCAAAATGCTTGTAACTTGTATAAATAGTACACTAAAGAACATTCTACACTCTCTGGTGGTTAGAGCAATGCAACTTGTAATACATAAGAAACTTCCTATTTCCATTAAAGAAGGCATCAAAAACTAGTTTTGAGAAGATGAAAAGATGATTCTCTAACTCCTGGATGCCAGGAAGCAGAGTTTTTCAGAATCAAAAACAAAGCCCTAACTAAGAGCTCAAGGACCCACCCCTCAGGGGTCACATAGTTGGTTCTGTTGCCTTTAACTAATTAATCATTTAACACAAACAATTTAGTTTTTGTCCCAAATTAAAACTAAGAACATATAACACCTTTGAAAATGTGCAAACACTCTGAGATCATTTCTAAAATCTATACAGAGATTTGCTATTTGGTTAGTATAATCCATACTGATTACTTCATTCAAAAAAAAACAAACAAACACAAAAATCCCCAAAACTTTCTCAATCTTCTAGTCCCGTTTCCTCTTAGGATAGTCACCAAACAATTTCTTCTATTAAGATTCTTCATTGCATGAATGTAGAAACTGCTTAGTAAAATTTTCCAGCTCATTTTCAAGTTGAACAGCTTTGTTTCTAATTTAAAAGAAAAAGCATCAGTCAATTTGGTTAAAATAAAGATCAATTAAAAATGCATTTTACCATTCTTAAAAACTCACTAGTTGGGGCTGAGAAGGTGGCTCAGTGGTAGAGCGTTTGCCTTGCATGCATGAGACCCTGGGTTCGATTCCTCAGCACTACATAAGCAGAAAAAAAAAACTGGAAGTGGCGCTGTGGCTCAAGTGGTAGAGCGCTAGCCTTGAGCTAAAGAGCTGAGGAACAGCGCCCAGGCCCAGAGTTCAGGCCCCATGACCAGACCCAAAACAAAACAAAACAAAAAAACAAAAAAAACCTCACTGGTTAGCTACTACAACTTTTTGAACAAATATATCTATTACCAATCCTTTTCCGAGTATTCACTGTATATGGTATTTTAGGTGTGCAGTAAAAAGACAAAAACATAAAGAAAAAAGAAAAAATATACAGTGGAGTCATACTTTACATGGGATCATATCTTAAGTCACACAGTCATGAATGTCTTTGAAGACTTACTTCACATAAAGCATATGAACTGAATATGTCATTTTAGTAGATGTTAAGAGGTATTCATATACCAAAAATACTTTACTAATAGTTTTAACGAGGACTAATTTTTGTATAACAAGGCTAAAGAAGGGAGAAATGGAGTATAGAAAGAACATTTCCTGTTCCTTGTGTAGAATAATGTGAGTTAAAAGACTCCTCCCAAATACATTTCAACACTAAAATCATATTTGATGCAGTCAAGTTGTCATGAAGAGAACAAGTAAAAGTAACAGACAGATGTGTGTTTCCCATTCTAAATCTATGCTGGAGCATGACTCACTGAGTGGATGTTGACTTGTTTTCTCTTGCTCATTTTGGAGGGGAGGAGGTAAACTATAAATATAGTCATGCCTCACTTGATGAATGTCTTCTATGAAATGTATTATTAGCTGATTTCATCATTGCATGAATATCATGATTATTATAACCTACTACACACACACCTAAATTATATGGCATAGCCTATTACTTCTAGGTTAAAAACTTGCATAGCATGCTACAACTATACTGATACTAAAGGTAATTATAATACAATAGTATTTGTGTATCTAAATATAAGTTAATATATTAGATAATGCTTTTTTTTTTTTTGTAGGTCATGGGGCTTGAACTCTGGGCTTGGGTGCTATGCCTGCTCAAGGCCAGCGCTCTACTGCTTGAGCCACAGCGCCACTTCTGGTTTTCTAGTGGTTAATTGGAGATAAGAATCTCACGGACTTTTCTGCCTGGCTGCCTTTGAACCATGATCCTCAGATTTTAGCCTGCTCAATAGTTAGGATTATAGGTGTGAGCCACTGGCGCCCGGCAATAATGCTTATTTTTCCCAAGCAAACAGGTACAAAAAGTAAAAGGAAATGCCAAGAATGGCTCTAAGAGTGCTATTTCTAGTTTTGTCCCTCAGAGCATACTTTACTAGGTTCCAAAAAATCCTTAATAAATAATTAAGCTACAAGTTCCTACTGTGTCAGGGAATCTTATTTATTTTCATTGCTTCATATTTACACATATTCAATAGTTCCCAATTGTCCTGGCTACGCAGGACTAAAAACTCACTTTTAATTATAGAACTTCTATTCTGAAAAGAAACTAATTTAGTCCAACAAGTTTAGAGATATAAAATTCCCTTTAGTTAAAATTCATTCTTCTGTTCAAATTAGCTTTCACTATACTGAAATTACAAAATAGGAAATTATGAAAGCTCTTAAATGTGAAATAGCTAAAAGATTCACTTGTTGATTTATATAATTACGTTTTGGTTGAGACTAGTAAATGTTCATGTTATTGAGAGAGAAAAGGTTTAAATACCTTAAGTACTTTGAATTGTTTTGTATTTTTTCCAACTGATCTATTTCTTTGGATAATCTTGCAATTTCTTCTTCCAGATGTCTTTGGGTAATATCAACTTGTTGGCACAGGCGGGCAAAAGTAGTGGCCATTTCTCTTAAATTAAAAAGAAAATGATTAGCAGTCGTGAAACTTCAATGTAAAGCTTTTATAAAGAGAAAAGCAAGTTGGGCGTGATGTGAAGACCTAGGCAGGACTCGAATTTGAGGACAGCCCAGAGAAAGATAATAGCAAGACCATCTCCAAAACAAAAAAATTTTTAAACAAAGGAGAAAAGTTCAAAGAAAATCTAAATCATAAAGGATCAAGAACCACTGCTATGATAGGAGGGAATTCATAGCATCTGGAAACTTAATATAAGTTATATGCTTCGTTTCATGGGGCCTAGTGCAAAAGTTCAAGAAGAAATATAACCTTTGCTATATGGTAGTAAATATAAGTATGCAATAAAAAGGCAGAAGATGGGTATATTCTTCAAAAAGAAGTAAGAAACTTTACTCTTTTGATTAATAAAAATAATAAATTGTTAACAGAAATGAAAAACACCCTATGTATTTTTGTGAAGTAGGCTAAGTTAATCATGTTTCCATAACCAAAGGTTCTATGATTGCTAATATACTGGCCTTGGTAAGTACAATATTTATTCTTTAAAACTAATGCCGGGCCGGCACTGGTGGCTCACGCCTGTAATCCTAGCTACTTAGGAGGTTGAGATCTGAGTATTGTGGTTCAAAGCCAGCCTGGGTAGGAAAGGCTGTGAAACTCTTATCTCCAATAAACTACCAGAAAACTGGAAGTGGCGCTGTAGCTCAAGTGGTAGACTGCTAGCCTTGAGCTGAAGTGCTGAGGGACAGCACTCAGGCCCAGAGTTCAAGCCCCATGACTAACAAAAAAAAACAAACCCAAAACAAAAAGCTAGTGCCAGTTCTGGAATATGTGCATCTCTAGAACGAACATGCTTTTCTCTGCAATATCTTCCTATGTGTCTTCCTCCTGGCTCTTTTCTCCACCCAAGTCCCAAGATGATAAATAAAACATGTTTCATCCTTTTAAGGTTTTATCATTAAAATTTATCTAGTTTAATTATTTGAGGTTGCTATATTAGATTGTAAAATCCTCTAAAAAAAAAAAGAGAAATGTACTCATTACCTTGCTCCTGTAACTGTAACCCCTCTGTACAGTGTTTTCACAATAAAAAACTTATTTTTTTTAAAAAAAGAGGATAAACCTATTTTCAAATCTCTATTTTCTCTATCTCCTTTTACTAATTTACCACATAGGAGACAATGCTTGATGATTAAAAAAAAAGAGTCTGGGAATGTGGCTTAGTGGTAGAGTGATTGCCTACCATGCATGAAGCCCTGGGTTCGATAACTCAGAACCACATAACCAGAAAAAGCTGAAAGTGGTGCTGTAGCTCAAGTAGTAGAGTGCTAGCCTTGAGCAAAAGAAGCTCAGGCACAGTGCTCAGGCCCTGAGTTCAAGCCCCAGGACTGGCAAAAAAAGAAAGAAAGAAAGCAACATTTATATTGTTTTTACTTATATAAACCGCAAGTGTTTTCTTTTAGAGATTCAAGTATCTTTTTTAAAATTCCCTTTTATTGTGTTGGTACTAGGTCTTAAACTCAGGGCCTCATGTTCTCATTTAGCTGGTACTCTACCACTTGAGCCACACCTCCAGTCATTTTACTGATTAATTGGAGACAGAGTCTCAAGACTTTTTCTGTGTAGGCTGGCTTTGAACCTTGAACATTTGAAGAAATGTCAGCCTTCTTAGGAGCTAGGATTACAGGGATGAGGCACTGGTGCACAGCTCAGGAATCTCATTACAGAAAATACATTTCTTAATAAAATTAAAGCTATCCTATAAAATAGAGGAGTTTAGAAATTTGAGGAATTTGTTCCTCAAATCTGTGGTCTCCATGTTACTCTAGACCTCTACAGTTTTAACTGTGTTAAAGTTATGATATGTCTAAAGCAGTTTGTCTTACAGTTCCTATCGCCTTAGTTTTTATTTCCCACTGCAAAGTTATTTATTCTAGATTTAAGGTATTGATGGCATCGCTCTCAGGTTCCCTAACCTCTAATTTTTGTACTACTGATAGGGCCTTGTGCTAGTGTTTGGCTTACATTCACATAAACATATACCTCTGAAATTTTCCCTTTATGTTCTCGAACACATTGCTTTCTTTCCTGCCTCATATTTGGATTCTGCTATTTTCTCTGGTTTTCCTATTGTGCTTGTTTCACCTCTTCTGTATGAATGCCTTCATGCTTTAATAAATGCTTGAAATCCATCTGTCAACACTTTTTTTATTATCACTTTTGTTTCATATTGTGTGACTGTGTACATGTAATCTCTTTCATTAAATTACATTTATCTTAAGTCTTTTAATTCTGCTTTCAACTGTATCTAAATATAGAATGTTATGGAGCCTTGACTTTAGTGGAGTTTAATATATTTTTATCAATGAAACATTTAAGATGTGTAAAAGTTGGTAGCTAAAAAAATAATACCTTTAGACTTAAGCAAAAGCTTAAACTGTAAAAGTAAAAGCAAATTGTAAATGTATGGTACTGAATCAGGAGTCTACTCACCACAAAGCTCAGTGAGTAAAGGCTATGAATTCAATCTTCATAATGAAGAAACACAATATCTTAACAATAAAAACATAAACTTAGAATAGGTCTGCTGAAGAAATACCTTTTGGAAATCTTTCATAATTTGCAGGAATTTCTGTATACATATTTCCAAATATTTCAATCAATTTATTAGAAGAATTGGGACAATGGTGATTGAGAGGAGGAGAGGAAGAAGGTAAAGTTTGACATTGTTTCATCTTTCACCTTAGTGGTAACCACAAATGTATATACATATGTGTGTGTGTGTATTTATGTGTGTCATACATTAGTGACATGAAAGATCCATCTTTGAACTTACTGCTGTACTTGGTGGCTGCAGTTTGCACTGGTGAAGCTAACTATCATCTGTAGTTTTTCAGTTGCATAGTTCACAAACTGCTGTTTAAAGGCTCTCTCCTTGGCACGGGTAGTCCATGTCAGCCTCTCATAAAGATACAAAGCTCCATACATGCTTAGTGAAACAGATATGAGTTTCCAGCCTATAGTTTTCCAAATCTGTAAAATAAAGTCACAGCTTATTCTAAGAAAGTAAACTGCTACTAGAGAGAATATATTAAAAGGCATTTTGGCTCCCTATAGATCTTTGAGAATCTAACCTACTTTCTAAAAACACAGATGAAAGTGGTGCCACGGCTCAAACAGTGAAGCACTAGCCTTGGGCAAAAAAGAGCACAGGACCAGTACCTAAGCCCAAAGAGTTTGAGCCGTAGGACTAGTGGGGGGTGGGGGTATTACTCTACAGGGGGCAGTGGCTTAGTGGTAGAGTGCTTGCTTAGCATGCATGAGGCCCTGGGTTCAATTCCTTGATACCACATAAACAAAAACTTTTAAAAGACAAACATATATCTACATGGGAAAATCTGAAATTACTGTAACTCAAGTAGGAAGAAAAGGATCAGCACATAAATATCAGATAAACTGTCATAAGCTGTCGAATTTCCTAAGTTGAGTCAATGTATCTGGAAAATGTGATAAAAAATGTTTTCAAAAGTTTTTGAAATCCTAAACTGTGTTTTGAACTTTGGGACAATGGTGGCACCATCACCTGTAAACTCCCTAGGTGTCTCTGACCAGAGATTTAGGATACCAGCATATATGTCATTTCAAGAGATTCACACCAATCTTTAAACAGAGATCCCTCTAAGACAGAAAAAAATCTCACCGTGGAAACACAAGAAGAGAAATCAGCAAAGATGTCAGAATCAATGTGCAGACTTCTGCTGAGTGGCTCTGCCTTAGCAGCCACAGCACAGGGAGGAAAGCACACACTTGAATCGCCAGACCGGGGGAAACACCAGGAAGAGGAGTCTGAGACCACCACATCTGACTCAACATTGGCTCCAGGGGCTGTGAGTACCTCACTGGGGACTACTCCCTAGGGAGACCAGACCAGCTCCCTGTGGTGACTCAAAGTGCCCTGGACCAGATCCCCAGTCTGAGACAAAGGGAATATATTTTAAGAGGGCAAAACCTATTTTCCCATACCTCCAGCGGCTACCCCAGAAAGACTGCTGGTACACAACCCCACCCCTGCAACTACAACTCCCAAATCTCCCCAAAATTTCCTGTGGTGCATAGCAATGCCCCACAGAGAGGCAGGCAGCCAGGGAGACAACTGGGAAAACACCAGGACCCGCTGCCAAACAGCAAAGACAGCTGAAAACCATTACACCACCTAACTCAGCATCTCTGATGGGAATAGGTGCATATAGCTCCAGTAGCATCTATATTCAAATTTACAACTCTAAACTGAGGCTCTTCCTCTAAAGTAGTCCTAACTCAGGCCATTCCCATAGAAACTGCAGTACAGAACAGCCCTGATCTTGGACACACTGAGCAGTGAGCCTCTTTTTGTTTTCTCTGTCTCTCTCTCTGTCTCTCTCTGTCTCTCTCTGTCTCTGTCTCTCTCTCTCTCTCTCTCTCTCTCTCTCTCTCGCTCAATTTTTAGAGAACGTCAATCTCCAGGTTGAATGTTCTGGGCCTACTGTTAGAATGATCTGATATGTATTTGCGCAATTTGTAATATATACACATATAATATTCTACTCTTCTTTTTAAAATTATTTTTATTGTGAAAATACCATACAGAGGGGTTACAATTACATGAGCAAGGTAATGAGTACATTTCTTATCAAGCATTGTTGCCTCCTCCTTTGTTTCCCCTTACCCTCCCTTCCTATCTCCCTCCCCCCTCCCTGTGCCAAAGTTCATTTTTCAACAACTCTTGTACATCTCTTTTTTGTAGTTGTTGTTGCAATGGGTACACCTGTATCCCTATTTAAATTATTTGTTTTTTCCCTTCCTCTACTCTTCTTTATATCACCTTTCTGTCTTCAAAATTAGAGCTATAATTTGATAGGATACAGCTATTATCTTAGGCTTTTTAGAGAAGATAGCATTAGGTTCAGTGAGCTTAACTTCTCAGGGAGCTTAATTTCTTTGACTCCTTCAATATGGAATATAAGGTTTTTTTTTTTTTTTATTATTTTTTCTTTTCCTCTTCCTTCTTCTCCCTCATTTATATCCTCCATCACATTCATTCCCTGTCCTTGCCTCCTTTTCTCCTTTAACTCCTCTATAAACTGTACCCCTCTCATATACATCCCTGAAAACTACTCCTCATTATCCTAACCTTACACAATACAATAACCTTATACTGTACAATTTCACAGCTCAACTAAACTCTACATCTCTACTGATTGATCCCTACAAGCTCTAACCCAGCTAAATGAATCTCAGCAAAGCTTCCTAGTCAACCAAGAAAACAAGAGTTTAGAAGGACACAAAATATCCAAATATAAAACCAAAAGGGTCTTCAAATGGGTAGAACACATCACAGAAATACTAGAAATATGCAAATCCAAGGAAATACAATGATCACAGAAAACAACCAGACAACAGAGGGAAACAGAGACCTAGAAGACACTTCATAAAATGCACTAAAATCATTGCTGATAAATTCATGAAAAGTTGGAAAACATATATAAGACAATCATAAGCATGAGACTGACCAAAAAATAATAGAAAAATTCATAAAGACCATGAACAAGAAACTAAATTACATCCAAGAGATGGCAAAGGAGTCCAGTGAAAAAGCAGCCACCCAGTTAAAGGAGATGAAAGAAAATACAAACATACAAATCAGTGATATAAGGAGATCTTTAGAAATCCTAAAATGTGACTTAGTTTAGGCCCAGACACCCTCTTTCCCAGCTCTCTCTTCTCTTTCCCAGGTCTTTGCCAGCTGCGTGGAGGCCATCGTGGCTTGGTGCCCCTTACCTGAATACCACGTGCATGGTTCTTACTCGCCTACCTCTTTTTAAAAACCTAACAAGCCAAAGTGTCACTTCCAGTTTTCTGGTGGTTAACTGAAGATAAGAGTCTCAAGGACTTTCCTTCCCTGCTGGCTTTGAACTGCGATCCTCAGATCTCAGCCTCCTGAGTAGCTAGGATTAGAGGCGTGAGCCACCCGGATCTAGGTAAAACAAACATTTTTAAAAGAAGAGGTACAAGCCCTCAGAAATGATCTAGCTATAACAAGCCTTTTAAAAGAAGAGGTAGAAGCCCTCAGAAATGATGAAACAGGAAGCATAGAATTAAACAGTAAAGTGATAAGACTCTGTGGCTGAACAGACAAAGCAGAAGATAAGAGCCTCAGAGTTGGAAACAGAGTAGATCAAATTCAGACAGGAGGTTATTTTATAGAACAAATCCAAGAAACAAGAAAGAAGCCTACAGGAACTACAGGACTCAATTCGAAGACTGAATTTGAGACTGACAGGTATCCAAGAAGGGGAAAAGGAGGTAGTTAAATGGATAGGAAACATTTCACAAAATCCTAGCAGAGAATGTCTCAAATATCCAAAAAGAAAGTCCCATTCAGATACAAGAAGCATTTAGGACACCCAGCAGGTCAGATCATAACAGAACATCCAAACACCACATTATAATACACAGAGAATCAACAGAGACCAAGGAAAGATCCTAAAAGCTGTCAGAGAGAAGATTGATTACTTATAATCATAAGGAAAACCAGTCCAAATAACCAGAGACTTATCAGCCAAGACCATGAAAGCAAAAAGAGCCTGGCATGAAGCACTCCAAACCCTCAAGTGAAATAATTACCAACCCATAATACTATACCCAGAAAAGCTCCCTTTCATAACCAAAGGAAAAATTAAAATATTCCATAATAAAGAAAAATTGAAACACTATATCTACCAAACTAGCACTCCAAAAATACAGTTTCATACAGAAAACCAACAAGAATATGATATTGTCAGAGAAAAATCTCTTTATCTCCTTACCAGAGAACCAGATAAATAAGAATAGAGGAGGCAGAGTCCTTAAGAAGGGAGATAACATGGCCGGCATTATCAGTCCTAACTCTCAATATCAAAGGAAATAACTCTCCAATTAAAAGACACAGAGTGACTACTTGGATCAAAATGCAAGAATCATTCATCTGTTGTTTACAAGAGACACATTCTCAAAGTGAAAGGTTGAAATAAAATCTTTCAAGCAAATGGCCCCAGGCTGGAGCAGCAATCTTAATATAAGATAAAATAAATTAAAGTCAGTAAAGAGAGAAAAACAAGGTCATTACATACTAATAACTTAACTACAGGAGGATATGACAATTCTAAATATCTATGCACCAAATGCTGGAGCACCCAACTTCATCAAACTCATATTACTTGACTTAAAAATACACACAGATGGGCTGGGAAGGTGGCTCAGTAAGGCGCTTGCCTTACATGCATAAGGCCCTGGGTTGGATTCCTCAGCACCACATAAGCAAAAAGAAAAAAGCCGGAAGTGGTGCTGTGGCTCAAGTGGTAGAGCGCTAGCCTTGAGCTGAAAGACAGCGCCCAACCCAGAGTTCAGGCCCCACAACCGGACCCCCCCCCCCCCAAAAAAAAAATACACATACATCATTATCTCCTCTGGATAGATCATCTAGGCAAAAACTCGGCAAAGAAACCTCAGTCCTAAATAACTACATCAACCAAGTAGATTTAACAGATTTAATTTAAAAAAACAAAAAAACAAAAACATTTAACAATCTACAGACTATTTCACCCAACTGCATCAGAATATACATTCTTCTCAGCAGCCTATGGCATATGATCCAAAATAGTCCATATGTTAGGTTACAAAGCAATCTATGCAAATTTTAAAAAATGGAAATTATCTTTTGTATCCTATCAGACCACAACCAAATAAAATTAGATCTCAACAGCAAAAACATCACAGAAAACTAGCTCATGGAGACTGAACAACACACAACACATTGCTGAATGATGAGTGGGAGATTATAAGGGAAATTCAAACGTTCATGTAATTCAATAAAAATGAATACACAAATACCAGCTCCACTGGGACAGGCAGTACTCAAGAAAATTTATAGCTCTTAGTGCCTACATCAAGAAATGGAAGGTGGCTCAGTGGTAGAGCGCTTGCCTTGCATGCATGAGGCCCTAGGTTCAATTCCC